GAGGCCGAGGCGGGTGGATCACGAGGTCAAGAGATCGAGACCATCCTGGTCAACATAGTGAAACTCTGTCTCTACTAAAAATACAAAAATTAGCTGGGCATGGTGGCGCAAGCCTGTAGTCCTGGCTACTCAGGAGGCTGAGGCAGGAGAATTGCTTGAACCCAGGACGTGGAGGTTGCGGTGAGCCAAGATTGTGCCACTGCACTCCAGCGTGGGTAACAAGAACAAAACTCCGTCTCAAAAACAAACAAACAAACAAACAACAAAAAAAACCAAATAGACACAGAACTCATATGGATGGATTGGAAAAATGTTGTGAAATGATTATATAAACCAATGTGATTTAGATTTAAAACAATACCCATAAAACCCCCTATCACTTTATGTTAAATAAAAACAAAACAAAAAAACAGGCTGGGAAAAGGGGATCACGTCTGTTGGACACGCTGGTCCAAAACTCCTGACCTTAAGTGACCTACCCATCTTGGCCTCCCACAGTGCTGGGATTATAGGAGTGAGCCACCCTGCCTGGCTCTATCTTCTTCACATAAACATTTTAATGTCAATTAATGCTTGAACTCAATGTTAAGTCAACTCAAACTCAAGTCGATGCTGAACTGACTCTAATGTCAATTAATTCTTGATGGCTGCTTATTCAATGCATTTTGAACAATTATCTCTAGAATGAGTTTTCTCATATTCTGCAAGGAGTGACCTCAGACTAAAGACCATGCCACACTTAGGACATCTGTAAGATTTCCGTCCGGTATGGATTCTCTAATGTCTAATGATGTGTGAATGTGAAGTAAAGCTTTGCCCCCGTGATCACACTGGTGAGGTTTCTCTCCTGTATAAATTCTCCTATGTTTCGCATAAGGTGAAGTATGACTGAAGACCTTGCCACAATCATGACATTTGTAGGGTTTCTCTCCGGCATGAGTTGGCCAATAAACTGAAAGGTATCAACAATGTTTAAAAAATCTGCCACATTCATCACACTTGTAAGATACCTTTTCATGATGAAATCTCCAATGACTTGCAATGGTTACTCAAGACTTTGTAACAATCTTTACAATACTAAAGTTTCCCTATACCATGGATTGCTTGATGACAAATAAGTGTTGACTGTCCACTAAAGGCTTGGCCACACTCATTACCCGTTTAAGTTTTCTTTCCATTGTGAATTCTAGTATGTTATGCCAGGTGTGAATCATGCCTGAAAGCCTTGTCACAAATCTCAGCTGTCTATGGTTTCTGTTAAGTATGATTTACCCTGTGTCTTTCAAGGTGTCATTTGGGACTAAAAATGTTGTCACATTCTACACATTTATAAGGTTTCTCTCCAGTATGAAGTCTATAATGATAAGCAAGATTGCATTTTTGATTAAAAACCTTGTCACATTCATTACACTTGTAAGGTTTCTCTCCAGTACGAATTGCCTTATGAATTAAGAGCTACATTTTGACTGATGGTCTTGCTACACTAATTAAACTTGTAAGGATTGTATCCAGTGTGAATTCTAGTATGTTTTGCCAGCTATGAATTACACGTGAAAGCCTTGTCACAAACCTTACATTTGTAAGCTTTCTCTTCAGTATGACCTCTCATGCATCTGAAGGTGTGATTTGCGCGTGAAAACTTTGTCAAATTTTTGACATTTGTAAGGTTTCTCTCCAGTATAAGGTCTTTGACGATGAGCAAGCGTTGCTTGTTGGTTAAAAACCTTGCCATATTCATTACACCAGTAAGGTTTCTCTCCAGTATGAAGTCTGTGATGATCTGCAAGTCTTGATGGTTGTTTAAACACGTTACCACCTTTATTATACTTGTAAGGTTCCTCTCCAGTATGAACTGCAAATGAATTACAAGGGCTGAATTGCGACCAAACGTTTTGCTACATTCATTACAAATGTGAGGTTTCTCTCGAGTATGAATTGCCCTATGAAGTACAAGAGATTAACTGTGACTGAAGATCCTGCCACACTCATTACACGTGTGAGGTTTCCGTCCACTATAAAGTCTATAATGGCATAAAAGGGATGACGTGTGACTGAAGGCCTTGCCACACTCATTACACTTGTAAGGTTTCTCTCCAATATGGCTTTGCCAATTAACTGCAAGGTATGAACAATATCAAAAACACTTGTCACATTTACTACACCTGTAAGATCTCTGTACGTTATGGATTCTCCAATGATTTGCAATAGTTGTAGCATTAATGAAGACTCCATGACAATCAATGAATTTCTAAAGTTTCTGTACAATGAATTCCTTGATGTTGAATAAGTGATGACTGTTGAACTAAAGGCTTTGCCCTACTTACTACACATGGAAGATTTCTCTCCAGTATGAAGTTACGATGGGATGTAAGGGATGACACCTGACTGAAGGTCTTGCCACACTATTTACATTTGTATGTTTTCTCTCCACTGTGAATTCTAGTATGTTGTGCCAGGTGTGAATTTTGACCAAAAGCCTTGTCACAAACTTTACATTTGTAAGGCTTCTCTCCCGTATGAAGTCTATGATGGCATGTAAGGGATGACTTTTGACTGAAGGTCTTGCCACACTCATGACACTTGTAAGGTTTCTCTCCAGTATGAAGTCTATGATGACATACGAGAAGTTCTTTGCGATTAAAAACCTTGCCACATTCATTACACTTGTACAGTTTCTCTCCAGTATGAATTGCCTCATGAATTATAAGTGATGAATTTCGACGAAAGGTCTTGCCACACTCATTACACTTGTAAGGTTTCTCTCCAGTGTGAATTCTAGTATGTCGTGTAAGGTGTGAATCTTGTCTGAAAGCCTTGTCACAAACCTTACATTTGTAAGGTTTTTCTCCAGTGTGAAGTCTATGATGGCAGGTAAGGGATGACTTTTGACTGAAGGTCTTGCCACACTTATTACACTTGTACGGTTTCTCTCCAGTATGAATTACCTCATGAATTACAAGTGAAGAATTACTACTGAAGGTCTTGCCACACTCATTACACTTGAAAGGTTTCTCTCCAGTATGAACTCTATGATGATACGTAAGGGATGACATTTGATGGAAGGTCTTTCCACATTCATTACATTTGTAAGGTTTCTCTCCAGTATGAAGTCTACGATGGCATCTAAGGGATGACATTTGATGGAAGGTCTTTCCACACTCATTACACTTGTAAGGTTTCTCTCCAGTATGAAGTCTATGATGACATATGAGGTTTGATTTGCGATTAAAAACCTTTCTACATTCATTGCACTTAAACGGTTTCTCTCCAGTATGAATTACCTCATGAATTACAAGTGATGAATTTCGACTAAAGGTCTTGCCACACTCATTACACTTGTAAGGTTTTTCTCCAGTGTGAATTCTAGTATGTCGTGTAAGTTGTGAATCTTGACTGAAAGCCTTGTCACAAACCTTACATTTGTAAGGTTTTTCTCCAGTATGAAGTCTATGGTGGCGTGCAAGGGATGATATGTGCCTGAAGGTCTTGCCACATTCAATACACTTGTAAGGATTGTCTCCAGTGTGAATTCTAGTATGTTGTGCCAGGTGTGAATCACGCACAAAAGCCTTGTCACAAACCATACATTTGTAAGGTTTCTCTCCAGTATGAAGTCTATGATGCCATGTAAGGTATGACTTTCGACTGAAGGTCTTGCTACACTCATTGCACTTGTAAGGTGCCTCTCCAGTATGCCATCTATGATGGCATGTAAGGGATGACTTTTGACTGAAGGTCTTGCCACACTCATGACACTTGTAAGGTTTCTCTCCAGTATGAAGTCTATGATGGCATGTAAGGGATGACATCTTATTGAAGGCCTTGCCACACTCATTACACTTGTGAGATTTCTCTCCAGTATGAACTCTGTGATGGTGTAGAAGGGATGACATCACACTGAAGGTATTGACACACTCATGACACTTGTAAGGTTTCTCTCCTGTATGAAGTCTACGATGGCAAGTAAGGGATGACACCTGACTAAAGGTCTTGCCACACTCGTGACACTTGTGAGGTTTCTCTCCTGTATGAACTCTATGATGACGTTGGAGCCATGACGTTTGACTGAAGGACTTGCCACACTCATTACACTTGTAAGGTTTCTCACCAGTGTGACATCTACGATGGCTTTCAAGACATCGCTTCTCATTAAAGACCCTGCCACACACATCACATTCATATTGTTTCTTTCCTAAATGACTTATTTGATATTTCCTTAAGAATGAGCTACAATTGAGGTTGCCGCTGTCTGAAAAAGGAAAAGAATAATAACAAAAATTAAAAATTAATTAAAAGAATGAGCTACAATTAAAGGCTTTCCCACTCTCATGACATTGGAAAGGTTTTTCTCTCATGTGTACTTCCTGTTTCTGTGTAAGTAATGAAGAATGGAGGAAATTACTGTCATAGTTATTAGAAATATGGGTTTTGGCTATACAAAAAAATTATTTGGGATGTTGAAACTAAAGGAAGCATCATTGATAGACTTCTCAACTTGATTACCAAGATTCCCTTCAGTCTGAAATATGTGGAGTTCAGGCAGATGTGAATGAAAGCTTAATCCAAGCTCATCTTTAATAGGCTTGTTTCCAGCATGACTTTCATCATATCAATCTGTACTACCAGTCAGCTTTTTGATTTCTGTCCTGGGTGCTTCATGGTTATTTCTTTCACCTTCTTGCCACTCAAACTCAAAGTTATGACTATGTTTCTCAATTTTCTGGAAGCAGAAATCTCCAATGTGATGATTGTCATCTCTTCTCAATGTCTCTGTGTAAAACCATTGTGTATTACCTTGCCCTGTTGATGAACACTTCTTCCTTATGCATTTAGTACAGATATCTACAAAATATAAACTCGGCTGTTCCTGGCCAGGACTAGTGCTATTATATATATTAAAAAAGACATTAAAGAGCTTGTTGCCTATTTTTTTTTTCCACTATGACAAAACAGGAAGAAGATGCTTGGGCTAAATTAGAAAGAAGGCTCTCACCAGAAACCAATCTGACTGCACCTTGCTCTTGGGTTTCTCACTTTCTAAATTCAAAAGAAATAAATCTGTGTCTTAAGCTTGCCAGTTGAAGCTATTCTTTTTTGTTCTGGTTGTTGTTTTGAGACTGAGTCATGGTCTATCACCCAGACTGGAATGTAATGGTGTGATTTTCCTGCCTACAGAGATTCTCGCATAGCAGACTCCCAAGTAGGTGTATCTACAGCCTGGCTAAGTCTGTGAGTTTGTGTGTGTGTGTCACAGTCTCGCTCTGTCATCCAGCCTGGACTGCAGTGGCATGATCTTGGCTCACTGCAACCTTTGCCTCCTGGAATCTAGTACTTCTTTGGCCTCAGTCTCCCAAGTACCTGGGATTACAAGTGCATGCCACGATGCCCAGCTAATTTGTGTAGTTTTAGTAGAGACAGCGTTTGACCATGTTGACAAGGCTGGTCTCAAACTCCTGACCACAGATTATCTGCCTGTCTTGGCCTACCAAAGCGCTGAGATTTTAGGTGTGAGCCAATGCACCCAGCCAATTTTTTGTATTTAGTAGATTCAAGGTTTCAGCCTCTTGTCCCAACTGGTCTCAATCTCCTCATCTGAAGCAACCCAACCATCTTGGCCTTGCAAACTGCTGGGATTAGAGGCATAAGCCACCATGGCCAGCCAGTCTAAGCTATTTCTGATATGAAAGCAAAATGACTGTCACAAAAAAAGGAGCATCTCATCATCAACATCACCCAAGGTTGAAAAATCTTATTAGACAAAGGAAGTTTAGTCTGTACTATAAAGCTTTCAATGTGTGAAGACATCTAACTAACTGTTTTAAAATCCTGGAGGAAGCGAGGCATGGTGGCTCATGCCTGTAATACCAATACTTTCAAACGCCGAGGTGGGTGGATCACCTGGGATAGGGAGTTAGAAACTAGCGAGACCAACATGGAGAAACCACGTCTCTACTAAAAACACAAAATCAGCCAGGTGTGGTGGTGCATGCCTGTAATCCCAGCTACTTCAGAGCCTCAAGCATGATAATTAATTGAATCTGGGAAGCGAAGATTGCAGTGAGCAGACATTGTGCAACTGCACTGCAACCTGGGAAACAATAGAAAAACTGCATCTCAAAAAACAAAACAAAACAGAAAAAAAAACTTGAAGACAAACTATTACTTCTCAAATAAAGACAGTAGCCCGACACTATTCACTTACTTGACCCAATTTGCACATCTGGTAAGTGAGAGACAAAACTTGATCCCACGACATGTTCTTAAGCACAACAGTCACCCAGGCAGTACAGAAAATGACCAGTCACAGAAAATACAAGGACACAGGAAGAAATACATCAAGGTGGATACAAGGGCTGAGCTCTGCCTCTGACAGTGATGCTGAGCCATCGCTCATGGAGAACGTGCTGAGCCATCATGCCCTGCACACACTGATTTAGGCAGCCTCCTATAATTACATCCAGTGAATGTATAAGGTCTTGACTTACTCAGTGAGCGTCATGTTGGAGGGGAGGGGCTCATGTGGAAACTGGGGTGTTCACCCTTAGAAATTAACAGGCTAGAAAGCAGCAGCATTTCTCATCCAGATCAATGCAGCATGTGAGGCGAGGCCAGGAAACGAAGGGCAAGCATGGAGGACAGAAGTAATGGGCATGCAGGAGTGAAGTGTGTGCATGCTTGTCTGTGGGAATATAATCCCACCAGCATAGACCAAATTTTGAGCTTGGAGGGAAGTGGAACTAATTTAGCAAATGGTAAAATGTTGACCCAAGGTTAAATATACAAATTACATTATGGGCAGAGGACAAGAATGAAAGACCCAAAACAGCAGCAGTAGTGACCTAAGGTGAAGGCAGTTTTATGTCTCTTAAATAACATGGCCTCTGATTTCAGTTTCAGGCATATACTCAACAAAATCCCCATGTACATTGCAGCACTGTGTACACACAAGAAAAAACAAGTAAACTCTCTGAAATAGAGTACAGCAATGTAGGAGACTGTGGAGGTGAAGAGTGATCCCCTGGCTGAGTACATACAGATGTGTTTGTCAAAACAGAGTCAGGCCAGTCGCGATGTATTCCAGCCTATAACCCCAGCACTTTGGGGGGTCAAGGCAGAGTAGATCACAAGGTCAGGAGTTCGAGATCAGCCAGGCCAGGATGGGCAAACCCCATTTCTAGTACAAAAATACAAAACATTAGCTGGGCATGGTGACCTGCACCTGTAATCCCAGCTATTCTGGAGGCTGAGTAGGAGAATTTCTGGAACCTGGAAAACGGAGGTTTCAGTGAGCGCCACTGCACTCCAGCCTGGGTGTCAGAACAGGACTCCATCTCAAAAAAAAAAAAAAAGAATAAAAAAGAAAGAAAGAAGCAGGGTCGGCTGGAGACTTTTGTCTACGCATGTGATCGGTTACATCAGTGAATAAAAATAATGCACTAACTAAAATGTTTGCCATATGAAAATTGAAGGGTAAATCTCGTTCCTTATATAAAAACAATGGTGTCTCTTTGCCTGGATCCTATATTATTTGAAATCACATCTCTGGATTTTAAACACAGTCTCTGGAATAAATGAGAGATGAAAAGTGAAGGTGACAAGGTAACAAAGGCCAGGCCCTCATATCCTCATAAAGACATCAACTCAACCAAAATGTTTCATCAAAAATATGTTCATAGGCTGGGTGTGGTGGCTCAGGCCTGTAATCTCAGTACTCTGAGAGGCATAGGTGGGGGAATCACAAGAGGTCAGGAGATTGAGACCAGCCTGGCCAACATAATGAAACTCTGTCTACTGAAAATACAAAAATTTGCCAGGCATGGTATTCCATGCCTGTAATCCCAGTTACTTAGGAGGCTGAGGCAGAAGCATCGCTTCAACCAAGGAGATAGAGGTTGCCGTGAGCCGAGATTGCACCACTGCACTCCAGCCTGGGCAACAAGAGGAAAACTCCATCT